TTGTTCAACTCCCCCCCAACTTCGAAAAAGGCTTAGCCCTTACTTCTCTTAGTTAACTCGTGTCCTGAAGAATTTGCAAAAAGTCACAAGGTCCTCTTTGAGCATTCATATTTGTTAAGTTGTCGTCGGGATGATTGAGCGTGTGTCGTCTGCGAAGGCAAATGACCGGAGTTCGCCCCCTTGCTGAAGTTTCAGGCCTTGCATTCTGTTAAAATCCGAGTCTTGTCCTCGGACGAGCAAAAGGAGTATCTCATACCACTTCCTAGAGGGTGAGACGTGCAACACTTCGAGTAATGCACCTGATTAAGAATCATCCATAAAACAGCCTGTCATCTAGAAAGGTTATTGAAGGGGTGACATGAGTGTATGCTTTGTCTTCGGTCAGTGTAGGAATGAAATGGAAAACATTTGGCTACCTAACTCATGAATTCAAAACTAAGATAGTTTGACTACCTTATCAACTGTCTTATAAAGTCCAACCTCATGTTGACTCGATTAGTCGTGTCCGGATCTGCGGGATTCAACCGAAATTATTTTGATTTATGTTCCACCTTATGATATTTTAAGACTTATAGTTATCCTTTTGACTCTCACGTCAAAAAGGATATGCAACTACCTAGTTATCGTGCGATTTATCTTCTACTACAAATGGTTTTCTATCAGCTACAGTCGATCCGGCCCGATGGAGTTAGGATCGAATATGACGATATTTTTTTTATAGAGTTAAATGTAAAGAGACTAGGATTACTTGTGGTTTTCACGCCTGGTTGACACCGTCTTAGTTGACCGACATTCGCTCTATACCTAGGAGATCAGCGCCTTAGGGAGGGATGACGTTCGGGTTCAGATGGCGTTCTAACGAAGCGTACCTATACTACGATGAACGAGCAGACGCCCCTTGACCGACCTACCTCTGCAAGTGCATCTAAAAGCTTTCGCACATGGGTTAGTAGCTCGGCTGGGATACACCCTTAAGGGTGGCGACAACCCCTTAGGGAAGGTAAGTTGTGCCCCGAGGGAACCTATCCTGTCGTAGGGGACTGCGGGAAGTACAACTGGTGCACCTGGCTAGAGCGACAAAAGGGCGACGCAACCGCGCCCATCTCGACGGTTCGCGAGATTATTCACGCATTGTCCCTAAGTTGTATCGTCTTTTGTTGGTTTAAATTGACAGTATACAACCCCAACCTTGTACAAAGTTTTTGTCGCCACAAGTAAAACTCGGAGGGGCTGCGCGGCGTGGGGCGCCGTTGAAAAAAAAAATCGGCAGCCTCCAAAGTGGTGCGGGTTTAGTGCTGATACCCCCGGGGCCGATGTGCGGTGTACTGGTGCTTTAATTCCTGCGTGACATGCCCGGAAGGGCTCTCGCCTTTTGCGAGAAAGGCGGGAGCCGATGCGCTCGACACCGTAATACAATAACTAGCTAAATGTTAGCGGTGCGGGTGGTGTGGGTTACGCCATCAGAAATAAGACATGCAGTGGGTGACCTCACACTGCATTTCGGATGGCTCCCCTCCAAGATTTTCGTCCACAGAAACAACGACGGCCTAACGGGGGCCACAAAATGACAGCCATGCGAGAAATGGAAAAGAAGGAAAAGAAAAAAAGGAAAAAAAAGGGGGGACACAAAACGACAAGCGCGAGAAATGAAAAAAGGAGAAGGAGGACACAAAACGACGGCCAACCGGGGAAAAAAAAAGAAAAAGCCGCTCGCATATCGGATGGCTTGCCTCCAAGATGTTCGTCCGCATCAACGCCAGCCGTGTGCCCCGCCCCTGGGGCGCGCACACTCGTTTAATGGCGCGCTGTGAACATTTCGGTACACACACCCATCTGCACACTCCCCCGCCTTCGATCGCCTTCATCCATCGCCCATCACCAAAACTTCTACCCGAGTCTGACACGCAGCGGATCATGGACCTTCCCCCTGGGCCAATACTGTCCTGTCCAGATTCGACAGGTCATTCAATTGGTTGGCCTTTTTTCCTTTTTTTTGGTGCTATACTGCGGAGAAAGCACGAACCTGGCCATAAAAAGACCCGATGTGTGCACACACATAGCATGCACATAGCAGAGTCATAGCACACACATAGCACACACACAACACACACATAGCACACACATAGCACACACCAGCAGGAGAGTCGCCCGACCGAACGTCTCACCGTAAGCGTTTGTTAGGTTTGTTTTGGTGTCAATCGTTTCCCGCCGTCTGTCCTGAGGACTACCGGTACGACTGTGCTGGATGTGTCTGACCGTAGTTAGGGCTCAGCAACAATTGCGTCTACGACCGCAAATACGTCGAGGAGCCTGTACGATACGAAAGCCGTCGTTCAAGTTTTTTTTTTTTGTTTTTTTTTTGAAGGAATTAACTTTCCATTACCAAAGGACAGTAGGGGCCCGGGAATACACCCCAAAAAATCAACCCGGTACATTTAATGACATGCTCGGGCCATTACCCAGCTGTCGTTCAAGTTTTTGCTGCGAGAGTTTTTCTGTGCACTTTTTGCGTGTCGCTTCCAGTCAGAGAAAACAGAACAACACTGTGCGTCTGTTCGCCGCACGATCCCGCGCGTTGCCGTGGAAGTGGAAGATCTGTAGCTCAGGCGTGCGGACGACGACTCGCCCGCCAGACGTTTTGGCCCTTTGCGCGTCGCCGTTCTCCGCAGGATTTGTCCGATTGCGGACGGACTCCCCAGGGCCGAGGTTCCACTATACGGTAGCAAAAAGGATAGGATCGAGCTGAATCTGGATGTGTTTTATGCAGAGATGCAGAAAAGCAGTTCAATCTCGATTTCCTGCACATCTCCATAACCTCGTCCAGATTCAGGCATTCGATCCGATCCTCTTTGCTACCGGTAGTGGGACCACGCCCCCGCCCGTCCGGCGGGGCTATCGTCGTTGAGGTGTGCCGCTGCGAGGCCCCCGGTCTCCACAGGTTTCTCGTTCCCCTCCCCCCCCCTCCCCCCCCTCCTCTGTCTCCGCTACCTCCTACCCCTCTTCACCCGAACACAACGTACTGTCATTACTGCTGTATCTAGACTCAAAGTTGTCCCCAATACAGGTATAATGACGGTACATTGTATTCGGGTGTAGGCGCTGGAGAGCGGAGAGCGGTTGGTTGCGCCCTGGTTGCGCCCGTCCACAGAAGCGGACGAATCAACGACCCCATCTCCCGCCGAGTGCCGCGCGCAGTGGCTGTGGACGAATCAACGACCCCATCTCCCGCCGAGTGCCGCGCGCAGTGGCTGCAACGTGTGTCTGCCCGCGCATTCCCAGGTGGGACCTTCTGGTAGGGGACCACAGTCCCATCTAGTGGGTACATTATATGCTCAGGCGATTCGCTCTGCAAGCTCTTACGGCGGCGATGGCGGAGCGGGTACTCCGCCGCCAGCCATCCTGAGGAATCTGGTATGCATTGTCCCGCTCCTCTCCATCCCCCGCCAATATCACTTCTTTTCGTTAAATTTCACAGCCAATCCGATTCCGTGAAATTCACAGCCAATCCGATTTCGAGAAATTCACAGCCAATCCGAGCCGACGACAAGTATCCTCAATCAATCTGCCAATCAATCAGCCAAGTCAACCAATCAATCAATCGTTCGGTGTGAAAACCTTTCCTCCTCTTATGCGTTGTCCTCTCTCGACGGCACACTATTCACGTCCGTGTTTCCCGCCTTATGTTCCTCTACTACTACTATTACTGCCTCCTCCCTTGTCTCACTTTTCCCGCCGCCTTGTCTCCGCTTCTCCCGCCTTCTCACGTTGTATCTCGCCGGTCTTTGGTACCGCTCATTTTCCCCACGCGGGGGACCGCTCAATTTCCCCCACGCTGCCCCCCCCGCGTATTTGCATTTCGATCGATTTGGCGATTTGGCGATTTGGCTCTCCGCTGCTGCGGCAGGGGCGCGGCCCGCCGTACAGTGGGGGCTACCGGCCTCCTCATCCCGCGCACCCCGACGTCCTTCCATTCCACGTCTCTATCTTCTCACCTTCCCCCACGTTGGTTGCCTTTTCCGCCTCTTTTCCGCCTCTTTTCCGCTCTCCTTGGGAGCGAGTTTCTCGTTTTGCCTTGCGCGGGCAAACTGAAGACGGTACAGGATTCATGCACTGACCTTCTCCTCTCATTGTCCACTGCCCCTCCCTCTCTCTCTCTCTCTCTCTCTCTCTCTCTCTGTCTTTCTTCCTGAACAAAGCTCTTTTACAGTCTCCCCTGTGTAGAGTCGGCTGTCCATAAACATCCACCTATATTTCTCTCTCGCTCCTATTATTCTTCGTCTCTAACGCTGCTGTGTGTGAAGGTCTCTATCTCCTCCTCCTCCTCCTCCTCCTCTTGCTCCTTCCATCTTCTCCCGCCTTTTCTTCCATCTTCTCCCTTTGGGGAAAACTTCCGTGTTTATACTACGGATTATGTACGCTAGGAGTGTACATTCCTGCTGGCTTGAAATAAGGTTGATTTTTTTTTAAAGCATTTCTTACGGCCGTTCTTTACTTGCTGATGTGATTGAAAATACTGAGTGCTGCTGAACTAGGGAGGGAGAAAAAATACTGCCGTTGACTTTTGGAAGAGGTTAGCATTCTTATACAAAGGAGTTACGTAGTTCAGAGAAGGTAGTTATACGACGGTGATTAGATAGAAGAGATGGTAGATAGGAGAAAGATAGGGTAGCAAGTCACGTAGTTCAGTCAGCCGTCGCTATTTTTTCCCCCCTACCTTGCGTGTCGACGCCTACCGAATCAATATGGAATCATAATAGGCTTTTTAATCAATCATACTGTCAATCAATCAGTCTGCCCAATCAATATTTAGCAAATTATACTTATTAGGCACGATTTAAAGTTGTTAGTAGCCAATTACAATGATTTGAAGATTTGTATCGATTTCCCGCTCATCTCTCTACTACATTTCCTTCCCTCTCTCCCTTGCGTGTGTCTTTTTCTCCTTCTGCCTCTCCACCTCCTTTACGATACACGTCGCGTCGAGGGCTTGAGGGGGACGTACGTGCGCGCGCGCACCGACACACCGAGAGAGAGAGAGAGAGAGAGAGAGAGAGAGAGAGAGAATGGAGAACAGCGTGCCGGAGACGAAGAAAATGATGGAGGGTCGATTGGCGGAGAGCACGAGGAACATTCTGGAGTCGTCAGGAGGAGTTGTGTATGAGGAGAAGAGAAAGCTGTTGAAGTCGGCTCCCAATCTGATGGCAGAGCGGAAGGCCTTTACCGGCGCTAAGACCGAATGGACGATTCCAGTCTTCTTTACGGACTTGTACGAGCTTCTTCTGTCTTTCACGTTTTTGTTGAGGACCATCGTTATGTCCGCCGCCTTGATGATTTTGAAAGTCGTTGCAAGGGGAGACGATGGAATGGACATTTTTGCGAGATCCGACGGGAAGGGTCGTGAACGCATCGCGGCGATGACGGAGGCCGAGGAGGTCGGTGAAGGCGTCGATGGCGAAAGGTGGAAGATGGCGGCGGGAGAGGAGGGAGAGGAAGAGAGGCGGACTCTGGGCGACAGTGGTGGGGAACTCCGCGCGAGAGGTGGAAGACGAGGAGTAAAGGATGGGGTATTCGAGTCCTTTCAGGACTATACACCTTCGACGATGATGGGAATGTCCTCCGTGGGTGGAGGAGGAGGAGGTCGTTCAGGAGGAGGGGGCGGGGTTGGGTCCCAGGTTGCGTTCGGACAACCCACCCTCTCATCTGGCAGGATCGAGTACCGGAGGAGAGGGGGACTAGGAGGAGGGGGGGGCGGAGACCAGTGGACTAGATCCTCGTCAGCGATCGGGATGGCAACAGGAAGCTCGGTGGGAAGAGGAGGAGAGAACGAGGTAGGTAATGCTCCGAGGAAGGGAGTGGGAGCGAGGAGGAGCTTTCTTGGTTCCTCTGGTGGCCTGGGAGATGCAGAGGAAACCGTGGTGGGAAGCGGGGACGAAGAGGAAATGGACTTTTTCCCTGTGGAGTTCACTGAGGAGGAGGGGGAAACGGATACGGAGGAGTTCTCACGGCAATTGCGCTTCGTTATTGATCCGGTGGGGTCGGAAGACGGGGGAAGGGGGGGGATGGGGAAGGTGAGAGCCAGCTTAGGGGTTAGCAAGAGTGGGGGGGGAGGGGGGGTAAGGGCGGAGGACGACGTGGTGGCGGCATTGGAGTTTGACGACGACGATGTTGTGGAGGTTCACGGTGATGATGAAGGGGAGGATGGAGACGAGGACGATGCGAGGAAAGGCCCGCTAGTGGAGGAGAAGGAGGAGGACGAGGGGGAAGGAGAGGTAGGGAAAGAAAAGGGGTTGGGAAGTGGGATCAGGGGGTCTGTGGTTGTGCTGCAAGAAGTTCCACGGGACGGTGGTGTGCAAGAAGTTACACGTGACGGCGGTGCTGAGAGACTCGAGGGGGAGAGGAGTGGGGATGAACAGGAGGAGGAGGACGAGGAGGAGGAATTAGGAGTGGAGGGGCCGATTCCGCGGGCGGTGGGTGATAGGGGGGCTGATATGCCGAAGGAGGAAGCGGAATTGCAACATGCATTCGACACTCTGAAGAAGGAGTTGGAGTTCGAGAGGAGTGCCGCCGCCACGGCCGCGGAGGAGGCGATGATGATGATCATGAGGCTGCAGAAGGAGAAAGCGGCATTGCAAATGGCGTCGAAGCAGAGCGCGAGGGTTGCAGATGAGAGACAGGCGTACGACGAGGCAGAGCTGGACATAATGAAAGAGCTGCTGCTGAAGAGAGAAGAGGAGAAGAGGATTCTGGAGAAGAGGATCAAGACGTACAAGAGAGAAGTGGAGGTGTTCCGGACTGAGAGGTTGAGGAGGCGGTCGAGAGGAGGAGGGGGAGGGGGTCGATACGGTAGTGAGAGCGAGAGCGATCACTCGAGGAGACACAGCCTGTCCTATAGCTCGGGGGGAGGAGGAGGAGGAGGGGTAGGAGGAGGAGCGGTAGGTGGTAGGTATGGAAGAGAAAGTGAGAAGAAGCCATTGTTCGCCGGAGATCACGGGTTCCACTCCGCGCCGTCCGAAGCTGCCGCCTCCATTGGCGGCGAAAACGAGGAGCACGGCGATGACGAAGTAGAAGCGCCATCGACGAAAGTGAAGAAGAGTTTCGCTGGTGTTGGGAGGATGGGCGGAGGGAGAGGTGGAGGTTTGCATGACCTGGCGTCGGTCAACGGCACGTCTGCGGACGAGGAGGGGAGAGATGAGGATGATGAGGATGAGAAGATGGACGGCGAGGGGTCCGTCGTCAGTGCCGGCGGCGTGAGCGTGCTGTCGTGGAGGGGAATGGTAGGTGACCTACGCTCCATCGATGGTGGGAAGTACTCGGCAGCGGAGGAGATGGAACTGATGGGTGGATTTGCAGGAGCACGAGGAGGTGCCCGAGGCCGGTACGACTCTCATCACGATGACGAAGATGAGCGTTGGATGTTGATGTCCCTCGGTGGCTCTGTCAAGTCCTTACCCAGCTTAGTGAAACCGGCCTCCGCTCTATCGTTATCCCAAGCCGTAGGAGGAGGTGACATCGCTACACTCTCTCTCTCCCAGCAGCAGCACGCGTTACTCGCAGAACAGGAGGAAGAGGTGTTGTCGGCATCACCGAGGTCGTCCATGAGGTCGTTCAGAGTCGTGGAGGCAGCTTCCGCCGCTTCCGCCGCTTCCGCCGCTCCCGCCGCTCCCGCCGCTGCCGTTGATGACGACACCGGGTCAGTCAGCAAGCTGCTCGCCTCACCGCGCGCCGCCGCCCCCCCCACGGCGGAATCCATCAAGTCCAGTGGTGAGGAGCGGAGAATGTTCGTCGGTCCATCGGAAGGAGAAGACGAGGAGAATGCCGCGAAAGCGGCGAGGATGATCGACGACCGGGGCATGGAGATAGACGACGCGGCATCGTGTCGGTCGGGGGCGAGATCTGTGCGGTCTGACCTGGACCGCGCCGGCGGGAAAGGGAAGCAGAAACAGGACAGACAGGACAGCAGGGTGGAAACGAGAGCGGAGTCAGATGGGGAGAAATCCATGATGTCGGAGGCAAGGTCGATGAGATCAGAGGTTCGCTCGGTGAAGTCGTTGAGGTCGACTAGGTCAATCAAAGCGATAATACCAGGGCAAGCGAACGGGAAGCTGGTGGAAAGTTTCCACAGTGAGGACGTGAGTGCGGAAGAGAGCGACGACCGCATGGCTTTGCCGCCGATGGCGGTGGGCGGAGGTTCGCGTGGAGCCGGGGGGGGCGGGGGAGGAGGAGGAGGGAGGAGCTGGTTCGATCACGAGGAAGACTCCGATGTGGTTGTCGGCGCAGCCGGGATCGACTTCTCTTCGCCTTCTATCTCGAGGAAGGCGCGGGGAGGAAGCTGGGGAAGGGGGGTTATGTCGAACAGAGCGAGTGGGGGAGAGGAGGACATGATGGAGGCGGCGGCAGGGTTAGGAGGGGTGGTGGGGAAAGGAAAGGGAGGTGGTGGGGATTCGTCGTCAGCGGCGGGATCGCGACGAGACCACGAGGTTTTGGGATTGAGAAGCGAGAGGATTGAGTCGTCTGCGGATGAAGAGGAGAATTTGCGCCAAAGTAGGGGGGGTCCAGAGCCGGCAACGATACCTTCAGTGCGCCGTGGGAGATCAGAGGCCGAAGACGACGGCTTCGGCGGTGCAGCAGGAGGCAGGCGAGTGGCCAGTAGTAGAAGAGGATTGCCAGTTGTGGAAGAGAGCAAGCAACGATATCCTGACGAAGACGATTACTACGATGAAGAGGAGGGAGAGGAGGAGGAGGAGGAGGAAGAGGAGTTGATGGAAGGCGAAGAAGTGTACACAGATGAGTATGAAGATGGAGACATGGAGGAAGAGGAGGGAGACGAAGAGGAGGAGGAGGAGGAAGAGGTTGGATCGACGGAGTTGAGCACTTCGTCTGGAACCGCCTCTCCTCTCAAACAGAAGCATATGAAAGTCGAAGAGGAAATTGACGACTTGTACTGCAGATTGGAAATGCTTGCGAGGGAGAAGCAGCTCATGGCTTCATTACAAAAGAACGAGCCCGCATCGCCGTTGTTCGGCGTAAAGGGAGCAGGGGCGCTGAACGGGGACGTGAGGGACAAAAAGCAGCTGCTGCCCACTGCGGCCAAGGAAATACCAACACTCCGCCCAGAGTTTTCCCCCGGCCTGTTTTCGAAAAAGCAAGATGTCATTACAACGGATTGGGAGTCGATGAAGAATAATGCGGGAGGGAAGTCGACCAAGCAAAACCACGTAACGACTACAACAAAAGTGAGTTCAGTACACCCACCCGTTTGTCTCTCTCTCTCCCTTTCTCTCTCTCTCTCTTTCCCTCTCTTTTCCTCGCGTATTCTGTAGATAGTAACCGAGTTCACCTTTCATTTGTGCCTTTCTCTTCCTCCTTTGCACTTTTTTTTTTTTTTTTTTTTTTTTTTTTTGCTTTTTCGTCTCTCTCTCCGCCTCTACCATGCTCTCTCTCTCTCTCTCTTCTCTCTCTGTGGGCACCTTGTATTACTTGCAATGCTATTTATTATCAGTCTTTTGCTTCCCCAGATTTCTCTCTTGGTCAGTTTGTACTATTGTCCCTCGTTTTTCAGTATTTCTCTTTACATGTACTCTCTCTCTCTCTCTCTCTTTGTGTACATATATCTGCAATTTGTTTTGACGTCTGCGTCGTGTGTGTATTCTCCGATCGAATGGTATTTCACGTCATGTCGGATGTCCTTTTCTTCTTCCTCCTCTCCTCTCTCTTGGTCGTTGGGTTGATATCCCTCGGCTTTCCCCGCGTATTCTTCTGTTGTCGTTTATCGAACGGCATAATCTCTCTGCTCCTCCCTTCCTCTCTCTGTCTCTCTCCCCCTTCCCCCCACTTGATGTTGTTGAACTGTGAAGTCTCTGCTGTTACGTTGGAAAATCGATCCAGATGTAGGTGGCTGAAAAAAATCGTGTGCTTCCATTCTTCTGATATAATATAAAGAGGTTCAATGGATCTTTTGTGTGCATGTGTTCTGTGTTATGACGAGATCTAACATCTTGTTGTGCAAGCATTAGGACTCGCGTTTCCGTAGTCGTCCGTGGATTCCTCCTGTTCCTCTCGTCCGTAGATTCCTCCTGTTCCTCTTGTCTCCTCCTTCCAGCGTCTCCTTCTCCTTCTTTCTTCTTTCGATTTGTAGTGCGCGTGCTGCGCAAAGGACAGCATGAGATAGTGTAGAGTGTGTAGGCTATGTACTGCGCGTGAGGTTTCCTCTTTCGACTTTGTTCCTCTCGTCCGTGGATTCCTCCTGTTCTTCTCTCCTCCTTCAAGAATCTCCTTCTCCTTCTTTCCTCTTTCGATTTTGTAGTGCGCGTGCTGCGCAAAGGACAGCATGAGATAGTGTAGAGTGTGTAGGCTATGTACTGCGCGTGAGGTTTCCTCTTTCGACTTTGTAGTGCGCGTGCTGCGCAAAGGACAGCATAAGATAGTGTAGAGTGTGTAGGCTATGTAGTGCGCGTGCTGCGCAAAGGACAGCATGAGATAGTGTAGAGTGTGTAGGCAATGTACTGCGCGTTAGGGTGCTGCGCCAAGGACAGGATGAGATAGTGTAGATTGTGTAGTAGGCTATTTACTGCGCGCGAGGGTGCTGCGCCAAGGACAGCATGAGATAGTGAAGAGTGTGTAGGCAATGCACAGCTCTGTGGATGTCTCTGAGTGCAGAGTCTGTAGGCTACTTACAGATCTACGGAAGTTTCTAAGGGCCTCGCTGCACTACTCTCGAAATGTGCGAAACGACAGTGAATCTTCCGCTAGAATATGGAAAGATACACGGCCATGATTTTTGTCTTTTGTGCATTTCAAGAGTAGTGCAGCGAGGCCCTAAGCGCCTCGCCGCCCTACTCGCCAAATGCAAAAAGACAGAGATGATGGCGGTGCATCTTTCCATGTTCTAGCGGAAGATTCATTCTCGTTTTGTACATTTTGTGAGTAGTGTCGTTTTGTACATTTTGTGAGTAGTGCGGGATATCTCTCGAAGTGGCTTTCTCCTTTTCTTCCTCTGTTTACGCCTTCCCTCTCAGCACCTCCGGCAATCGACAGTTCCTTCCGTTATGCTTTAATTCGTTAACTTTATGATAGAAATAGCATTAATAACACTGATCTTTCGGTAGAAATAGTAATAACACTGATATCTTTTGATAGGAATAGCAATAATAACACTGATGATAATAATAAGTAATTTGTTGTTGAGGCCCTGAGGCCACTTTCTCTTGCTTTTTTTTCTGTTAAAAAAATGTTATTATCTTTTGATAGAAGTTGTTAGACTACTAGTTTTGCTGCGGTCATTTTCACTTTTTTTTTTTTTTTTTTCGGTTTTTTCTCCTGTGCTTCCGCCGCCCTTCGCAGCTCTCCTCCGTTCCACAGTGACTTTTTTTTTTTTTTAATCTTTTCTTTGAAATTTGAAATGACGTCCGTTCTTTTAGTTGAAATGATATAATTTAATATCGTCGGTTCTTTGAACTGAAACGATATACGTTCAGGTGAAAATTCGTTGAAAATATAATTATAAAATTCGAAATTATTATGATAACAATAATAATTAATAAAAAATTGTTGAGGCCTTTTTATCTACGTAAATATAACAATATCGCTCATCTGGTTGCATCTGGAATCGAACTCGTCTGCATCCGCAATTTTTGAAGCACCACCCGGAGGCATAGTGAGATACGTGTGGGATAAGAAGTACCCAGTACCTACGGTAGCCCATACTGACACTTAGTGTGTGTGCGTAGGATTATCCCGCGGCCCTGCCCTAGTCTTAAGTTCGCTCTCTGTGGTCTCGTATGGGTGCCATATTCACGGGAATTATCCCCCCGAGATGGGCCCTGCCGTAGTTTTAACTTCGCTCTCTGTGGGCTCTCAATGGGCCCTGCCATAGTGACGGTAAACATGGTAGCTGTACCCAGACTCAACCATGGCACCCACACGGGACTACCGTCTTCACACGAATAGAACGCCCGGTCATTAGATACAGTTTCGCTATAATGACCGGGCGTTCTATTATGTACGCTGTATCTAACTAGAAAGTTGTCGTAAAAAAAAAAAAAAGAGAAAAAAAAAAAGAAAGAAGGTTGCACCGAATACGGCGTTTTATTCGGAGCAACTTTCAGTCCAGATACGGCTATAATGACCGGGCGTTCTATTCGGGTGAAGACGGTAGTACATACTGGCGAGCGAGACTGATAGATCGGAGGGTCCTAGTGGCCACGCAGAGGGATCGAAGGGTTTCGACGGTTTTGGCATTTTTTGGGTACCGATGGTCTAGGGTCTAGGTTAATTTACCCTGACCTATCCCTCGGACCCCCTAAGACTACACACTCATGCAGCCCTCCCTATGGCCCTATCCAGCATAATCGAACCATGGACCTAGACCCCTTGGGCGGTGCGCAGGCAGTGTGTCTGTATAAATCTTACCCTCCGTCGTTCCAAGGGGGAGGGTAGGGGGGGGAGGAGGAGGAGGGGGTTGAATTGACTTGTGCGTTATGAAATCGCTTTCCGGTGTTCGTGCGCAGGCATCGGAGTTTTGAACCCGTAACCTCATACCACAAAAAAATGCGCATTTCCAACCCGTGCTCTAAGCACTCTTGAGCTAACGGCCATTCTTGTCTTTTTTTTCTGTTTTTTCCCGTTCTCGTGTTCTTTTTTTTTAAACGAGTGTCGGCCTTGAGTTATCATCATCGAACTGACCTTCCCTACCGTCTTCCACCACATAGCTCGCCCGGTCATATAGAATTGAACGGACACGGTAAGATATTACCCCCATCCTGCACGGATTACACTCTTCATTCTCCTCACACCATTCCTCCTCTACATTCTCTTCCGAACTATGTTCACCCTCTTCCTCGTGCTCTTTGTCCCGTTCATTCGCCTTCCTCTGCCTCTCTCTCTCTCTCTCTGTGTAGCCTCGTTTAGTTGATCGTAATCGTCGTATAGAAATCCGTACGCAAAAGCGAAAACCTACACTAAATCGGATATCATCTTGCTGTCATCGCCATCACACGTTTTCAAGAAGAGCACACAGCAGCAACCACCCTGTGATTTGAATTGGGAACTTAGTTTTTTTGGAAGCCTTTGTGACATAAAAATATTTGTGTTAGTCATCAAATAAAAATATTTGTGTTAATAATCAAATTATCCTTCGGCCTAGCTTCAAGTTTCCAGTGGTGATCTTGATGGCCGAGGAATCCGTAAGCAATAGTAAAGCTGTAGGACTAAATAGACTTACAGGATATCATCTACGCAGCAGTCGAACCCTTCATCACCATTGCATGAGGGATATCATATAGGCAGAGGATTCAAATCCTTCATCACCATAAGCAATAGTACATCTCTACTACTAAATAGACTTGTATGATATCATCGAGGCAGGATCAGAACCCTTCATCTCCATCGCGTGTTTTCAAGGGCAGACAGCAACCACCCTGTGATCACAGCTGTGTGCTGTCTGGTCAGTACTGACCTTGCATCCGCCCACGACACTGTACGGACCTGCCCCTGCAAATGTACTTTGAGGAGGAGGCTATGGCCCTGAGTTTACTTCATCTGTGCTCGCTGAAACATCGTGTGAAGGAGTGCGTAACTGTGCCGTTATGAAAACAACTGTTACGCATCTTCTGGCTCTATCATGGCTTACGTGTGCGCAGGCCACTGTTTAAGAAGAAGCAAAGTGTGATGGTACTCTGGGATGGCATCAACTTAGAGCAACTCTGACGAGTCCGTGGTGGAGACTGTTGTCTGCTTTCTCTGGCACTCGTACACCCTCTCTCCGAATCTCTCTCTCTCTCTAACACGCTCCCTCTCTCTCGCGCGGCTATGGTCTCTCTCTCTTTCTCTCTCTCCCCGTTTGTGTTGCACTGCCACGTGGCATCTCTCTCACTCTCTCTTCTCTCTCGCGCGGCTATGGTCTCTCTTTCTCTCTCTCTCTCCCCCCGCTTGTGTTGCACTGCCACGTGGCATCTCTCTCTCCCCGCTGGTGGCGCACTGCCATGTGGCAGCTCTCTCTCTCTCTCTCCCCCTCCCCCGCTTGTGGCGCACTGCCATGTGGAAGCACTCTCTCTCTGTTTCTCTCTCTCTCCCTCTCCCCGCTTGTCGCACTGCCATGTGGCAGCTCTCTCTCTCACTCTCTCTCTCCCCGCTTGTGGCGCACTGCCATGTGGCAGCTCTCTCTCTCTCTCTCTC